GGCAGGCACCTGTAGTCCCAGCTACCTGGGAGGCTGAGGCAAGAGAATCACTTAAGCCAGTGGTTCTCAACCTTCCTAATGCCTCCTACTGCTGCAACCCTTTAATACAGTTCCTTACTTTGTGGTGACCCCCCAACCATAAAATTATTTTTGTTGCTACTTCATAAGTAATTTGCTACTGTTATGAATCATAGTGTAAATATCTGATATGCAGGATGTATTTTCATTGTTACAAAGGAGTTGAGACCCATAGGTTGAGAACTGCTGACGTAAGCCCAAGAGTTTGAGGTTGTTGTGAGCTATGACTCCATGGCGCTCGAACAAGGGCGACATAGTGAGACTCTGTCTAAAAAACAAAACAAACAACAAAAAAACCAGAGTCTCACTCTGTCACCTTGAGTAAAGTGCTATGGCATCATAGCTCACAGTAACCTCAAACTCTTGGGCTCAAGAGATCCTCTTGCTTCAGCCTCCTAAGTAGTGGGGACTATAGGCACCTGTCTAGCTTTTCTATTTTTACTTTTGTTTTTGTTTTGAGGCAGAGTCTCATTTTGTCACCCCCAGTGGAGTGCCCTGGCATCATAGCTCACTAACTCTTGGGCTCAAGCAATTCTCTTGCCTCAGCCTTCTGAGTAGCTGGGACTACAGGCACCTGCCACAATGCTGGGCTTTTTTAAGAGATGGGGTCTTGCTCTAGCTCAGGTCTCCAACTCCTAAGCTCAGGCGATCCACCCACCTCAGCCTCCCAAAGTGTTGGGATTACAGGCGTGAGCCACTGCAACTGGCCCTTTTTCTTTCTTTCTTTCTTTCTTTTTCTTTTCTTTTCTTTTCTTTTCTTTTTTTTTTTAAGGCAGAGTCTCACTTTGTCACCCGGCATCATAGCTCACAGCAACCTCAAACTCTTGGGCTCAAGTGATCCTGTTACTTCAGCCTCCCGCGTAGCTGTGACTACAGGCACCGGCCACATGCCCAGCTACTTTTAGAGATGGGTTCTCCTTGCTCAGGCTGAGCTCCAACTCCTGAGCTGAAGTGATCCACCCGCCCAGCCTCCCAGAGTGCTAGGATTACAGGTGTGAGCCACCACTGTGCCAGGCCCTAGCTTTTCTATTTTTAATAGGGATGGTGTCTCATTCTTGCTCAGGCTGGTCTCAAACTCCTGAGCTCAAGCAATCCATCCACTCAGCCTCATCAAGTGCTAGGATTACAGGTGTGAACCACTGTGCCTGGCAGGAAAGGAATTTTTTTGTAAACTGGGTTAGTCAGAGGCATTAAATTGATAATAATTTTGTGACTCACTACTTCTTGGCAGCTTGCAGTTAATTTTATCTTTTTTTTTTTTTTTTCAGTTTTTGGCCAGGGGTAGGTTTGAACCCACCACCTCCAGCATATGGGGCCGGCGCCTTACTCCTTTGAGCCACAGGCACCGCCCTCTTTTATCTTTTTCTTTTCTATTTTTTGGGGGAGTTTACTTCAGAATGTTAGAGGGTACACATGTTTTGTTTGCAT